AGACTTTTATGCAAATCTACAATTACAGTAAAGACCAGTGAATTGTACACTTAAAGTGGGTGAATTGTATAGTACAAAAATTACATTCAGCCCTTTGTATTTGTGGGTCAACCAACCTCAGATAAAAATATCTGTAGAAGGGCCAGCAGGTGGCATGGTGGTTAAGGTGCTGGACTCCCACGTGGTTGACCACGGTTCAAGTCCCAGGCCATGGTTCAAGTCCCAGACCTGGTGGCTTGAAACACATTGTGCATGTTTGTGCCCACAAGTGCCCAAAATTCTGAGAATGGAGGAGGAGGGATTACAGTGTGGCCAAGTCCCTTATGGGGTGATTTCTCGCTTTCTGTCTCTCCAGCAAATGCACACCCCCATAACAAAAATCTCTCAAAAAAAAAGTGAGTGGAGGGGCCAACAGGTAACATGATGGCTGGGGCACCAACCTCTCTCTCTCTCCTGCTCTGTCTCTCTGGTGAGTGCTTGTGCCCTATACCAAATTTAAAAATAACAGGAATAAATAAACTTACATAAATAATTCTTTTTTTTTTCTCAGAATTATTTTATTCAACTTTATTTATTTATTTTAATTTGACCAGAGTGAGAGGGAAAGTGAGAATGCAAGCCACCAGGTCTAGGACTTGAACCACAGTCAGTCATGTGGGAGTCCAGCACCCTTAACCACCACCATGCCACTTGCTTGCCACAAAATTAAATAAATAATTCTTTAAAAAAAAAAAAGAAAGAAAGAAAGAAAGAAAGAAAATTGGAGGAAAAAAATTCCCAAAACCAATACTTGAATATGCTCGTACCACACTGAACCCACGTAATCTAAATGATGAGCAGGTATTAAATATTGCAAATAATCTAGTGGTGATTTAGAGTATACCCGAGGATGTACATAGGTAATATGCAAATATTACAGCTTTTTTTTTCTTTTTACGTTTTTACCATAGGGTGCATGTGTTCACTGGAGAGAGACAGTGGGAGGGAAAGTGAGAAATCACTGCCCAATGGGGACAGCCATGTGGCAATCCCTTCTCCTCCATCCCCTCTTGGGATTTGGGCCACGCATGCACATGTCCAGCGTGATTTTCAAGTTGCCAGGACTGGGACTCAAACCACGGAAATGTGTGAATCCAACACCTTAACCATCACAGCACCTGCTGGCCCTACTATATCATTTTATATAAGTGACTTAAGCATTCTCAGCATTTGGTATCATGACAGTCAGGGAAAGGTTCCTAGAACCAATTTTCTAAAGATACTGAGAGGTAACTATCTATTTATCTATCTATCTATCTATCTATCTATCGAGTTATAACTAAAAAAAAAATTGCTAATGATTTTTTTAAGAGTTTTATTTTTTGCAATAGGGTACGTGTGTTCACTGGAGAGACAGAAAGAAAGCAAGAAGTCACTCCCCCACAGGGGATGGTCATGCCGCAATCCCTTCTCCTCTATTCTCTTGGGATCTTGGGTATACACACACACACACACACACACACACACACACACCCCTAGCATGAGCTTCAAGCCGCAGGGTCCAGACTCAAATGGAGGTTAACTATAGGGGAGTCCGGCAACACAACCATTACGCTATCTGCTGGTCCCTGAGTCCTTTTAATAATAAAATCTAACAAAAGATTACTCCATTCTGATTTTACCTAAAATATTCATCCACTGAATTTCCTCATAGCTAAACTATGATGTTCTCAAGGAGTTAACATAGTACAAGTGAGACATGTAAACAAACCAAAATGGTCAATGAAAAACTTCATAAAAAGAACAGCATTGGAACTCAATGATGAATGATAGGTGGGATATTTTTCCAAAAAACAGAGGTGGAAGAGGAGATAATTCTAAACTGAGAAAATAAGAAAGTACAATCTTAGAAGCAGGAGAATACTGCCGTGTTTAGAGAAGACTGAAAGGCTCCATTTACAGGAGTGTAAGACCAGAAAGTTACATTAAGGTCAGATCATGGAGACAATTATTAATATTAAGCCAAACACCAGGTGATGCTGATGAATTAAAGTAGGGCAATGGCACGATCCTATTTTTTAAAAAGATAAATCTATGTAGAATGAATTGGAAGGGAGAGAGTGGAGTCTTGATAAGAAATTGTTGCAGTATTCCAGGACTAAGACAAGCAGGAGCCAGCAGTAGTGGTTCAGATAGTAGGAATGGAGAGGGTGGGCAGGGGAAACTGAAGGGAGTTACATTAAACAATGAACAAGTACTAGCAACTCAGACTGTGGGAGTAGAGGGAAGAAGGGAGCAGGAGGCTCTAGTCTAGAAGGCAGGGAGAGTAACAGTGCCAACAACAGAAAAATAAGTCAGAAGGAAGGGCCAGGCTGTTACAGGGGAGTGGAGAAGCAAGGAACGTGATGAGTTGGATTTTAGACTTGAGAAGTGTGATCTTCAAGTGACTGGAAATGTGTTTCTAGAGATGAAAAGAGGAATCTTAATTTTATAAACACAGATACATAGAAAATAAAATTTTCATTAAATAGCAGGGTTTGATACCTTAACAGCAAGTATAATTGCCAACAAAAGAAGCATTAATAAAATTAATTTGAACTATATATAATGCTTACTATGGTTTATTCGATCTAGTTCTTACTACAAATATTCAGAAATTTCAATTATTCAGAGCTCTCAAGAGGTTTTATACCCAGTCTAAAAGAGGGGCAAAGGCAAGGAAGCCAGCTAAAATAAATCTGTTCTAGGGGCTGGCAGGGGATGTGGTGATTAAGGGCACTGGACTCCCACATGGCCGACCACGGTTCGAGTCTTGGACCTAGTGGCTTGCTTTCTCACTTTCCCACTCTCTCACTTTGTCCCTCTCTGGTCAAGTTAAAATAAATAAATAAATAAGTGAAGTTAAATAAAATAACCCTTTAAAAATGTTCTATAGAAATATTATATTCTTTTTTTTAAAAGAATTATTTGTTTTTTTATTTAACTCTATTATTTTCCAGTTTAACCACATAGAGACGGAGAGAGAGAGAAAGAGAGAGAGGGGGAAAGGGAGAAAGCAAGCCATCACGTCCAGGACTCAAACCGTGGTCAGCCATGTGGGAGTCCAATACCTTTAATCACCATGCCACCTGCTGGTCCCAAAAATATTATATTATTACACTATCAATATATCTAAAAATGTTTTCCAAAGAGCTCAAATACCATATAGCCTGCACTGTTGCTGAAAAAGGTTTAGATATAATCGTTTATTTTTAGACTAGAGATTAAGAAATGTATTCAAGGTTATATATAAAGGTAAAACTTAAATTCCAAACTGTCCAATTTTTCGTTTGGTATTCAAATAAATAACAAACTTTCTACTAAGTATTATGTCCTACCATAGAACATAGATGTAGCAATTTTCTTATTGTATTTACTCATTCATCCACAGCTAAAATTAAGAGACAGGCTAAGTCATGAGAAGTGGGCTTAGAACCTATGGTTCCTGGAGCCGGCAGGTGGAATGGTGGTTAAGGGTGCTGGACGACCACACGGCCAACCATGGCTCAAGTCCCAGACCTGGTGGCCTCCTTTCTCACTTTCTCTCTCTTTCTCTCTCTCTCTTCTCTGATCAAATAAAAATAAATAAATAAACAAACAAAGCTAAGTAAAATAATTCTTAAAAAAAAAAAAAAAAAGAACCTATGATTCCTGCCTTGGTACACCATTTTCCCTACCACCCAGTCTCAAGTGTGGTGTCCTTTTATTTAAATTCCTATATTTTGATAGTCTATAGAGTAAGAGAGCCACTAAACGGATAGTTTTAGCCTTCTACTTGCACGCATTGGCAGTACAACTATTTTATGGCAAATTTCCAAGCTCTTGACCTACAAAAGCTCTTCACTATCACAATACAAGCGATCGGGATTTGATTACCATTCCTGGACTCTCACTTCTGGCAAAGGAGCTGCTGCTGCAGAAGCACAGAATGAGTTTGAGGGAAGTTTGAGGCAAATGTCTGCCCACTCAAAAAGCAACCCCTTTGAATTGACCACTGATATGTGATGATAGGCTCATTCAGAAAAAAGGATAATAAAAAACGAAGATAAAACAGAATGCATGTGCACATACAGAAATCTTGACTCAAGCCATGCCTAGGAAGGACAACTAGACTAAAGGATAACAGTTATGTAACTTATGGAAAATCCAAGATTTTTATTATTGGCCAAGGCAAGACAAAATCCTAAGTAGCAGGTAGCAAAATGAAAAGCCCTACCTTCCACAATAACTGAAAAAATCCTATTGCATCGAGGCATTCTCCACTAACAAGGACAAGTGTTACCCTATTGCTAAAGAATTATGCATCGTCAGGGGACCAGGACTACTTCTCTAGCAGGTTATCTCAATAAACTTCTGTGTGTTTGCTTTCCTAGGATAGTGGCTTCCCACAAATTTCTTCAGAAAGCGAGAGGAATAAAGAGCTGTCTCTTCCTATCACGTTATTCTTATCAGCAAGAAAGGTTAAGTGGACTCTCCCTAATAGATGATCACTTCCATGTCTCCAAAGGGGGAACTGATACCAACGGAGGCCTCTGGGGAGATGGAAACTAAACCTGGCTGTGAATTAGGTCAACTTTAAGAGTTACTATTCAATTGTACCAAGGTAGCTGAAAACTTAATGCTTACTCATCCTGAAGCAACCCAGGACTCAAAATCCCAGACTAAGGACCCAAGGCCCAGAGCACTAGGTTCAGCTCCACCCATCCAGCTCAGCCGGGTTACTCTTTGGTAAAAACAAGCCTCTCCTCATCCCGAGTAGGAACCAGACCGGGGCAAAGCCAAGTGGACACCCTTCACCCACTGCATATCAAAACAACCGAGGGCCGCTGTCACCACCCAGAAGTAGAGCAGATGCCCAGGCTTTAGCTCACTGCAGCCGGCATTGTTTACGCTCTTTCGCCGCCTTAGCCTGATAGGCCAGGAGAGTCCCCTGTACTGTCCATCAGGACTTCCGGCAGAGGCAGGGGATGCTTGCCCCTCACCTGCAGTTTGACACTTACGCTCCCCGGCCAGGGAGAGGTCGAGGGCCCTA